ACAGTTAGGGCATCAGTTGTGAAATTTTGTGTGTAGGTAGTTGTATCACCTCTGCATTTCATTTCAAGTTGACAGAGGGGTATCAGACAATATTTGTTATTGAAAGTGGGTATTGACTTCGATGGGGTTGAGAACCACTGATTTTAAATGATTGAAACTGAGCAGCTTATGTGAAAGTTTAAATATGGCTCTGGGTACCTAAGAGAGTCCCTGATGGCACCAGAAATTTGATAGCAGTGCTCAGCAGAAACAAGCAGACATTATTATTTCACTCGGTTCAGCAGCAGCCCTTGCATCACTGGTTTTAGCAGCAAGGGCCTGGTAAATTTCTCAGCCCTAAAAGTAAAAATGGATGTAGGCTCCTGGTAGGCGTCTTCCTGGCTCCATGGAAGAATATTCCCATCCTGCAACTTGATATCCTTACCCCACTCAACCAAGATGAGAACAGGGAATTAGAAAAACAAATCAGGCCCAGGAGGTGAGAACACTCTTGGGATCTGTTCTTCATCAGAAAGTCCCAAGTTGGAACTGAAAGCCTGTGCTTTATGGCTTCCAGGTGAGGGTGTGGCACATAGGCCACCAGACCCAGAAGCTAGAGGAGGCACTGAAGGAGCACAAGTCCTCCGTATCCTGCATCCGGGTGAAGAAGAGCAACGAGGAGTGCGTCACAGCCAGCACGGACGGCACCTGCATCATCTGGGACCTTGTGTAGGTACCAGTGATGGGGAGGACCATGGATGCAGAATGCAGTCCCAGCTATTGAACTCAAGGGAAGACTCAAACAAAGGGCAGAAACCTGACTCTGGGCAACAGGAGAGGGATGCGCCTCAGAAGCCATTCATCTCCATGACAGTTGAGGGTTCACAGATACCGGTGGAAAGGGCACAGCTACCAGGAAGAGCTGGACCTTAGAAGTTTCTGGACGGATAGGGAAGTAGCTCTCTAGATACACAAAGGAAAACATGGTTTAACTTATACTAATGCAACTCCCTGGCTCAGTGGTAAAGGATCTGCCTTTCAAGCAGGAAACACTGGCTCAATCCCTGGGTCAGGAAGATCTCCCAGAGGAGGAAATGGCAACCACTTCAGTATTCTTGCCTGGAGAATCCCACGAATAGAGGAGCCTGGTGGACTGTGGTCCAGGGGGTTGCAAGGAGCTGGACGTGACTTAGCAACTAAGTAACAATAATGCAACTCCCTAAGAAATGTGTATGTATTGATTCTCCTTCCATAGACCAGATGGCTGGGTGGCCCTGTCACAGGCCACACTCTACTGGTAAATAAGATTTCTCAGGAAGAGAAAAATGATTTCACAGCTTTCGGATTTGTTTTTCAGGCGTCTTAGAAGGAATCAGATGATCCTGGCTAACACCTTATTCCAGTGTGTCTGTTACCACCCGGAGGAGTTCCAGATCATCACCAGTGGCACAGACAGAAAGGTGAGGGTTGGGACCCTTCTGGTACAAGAGAAGAGCCTGATGCCCCGTGGCCACAGGTGCAGGCTCTGGAGCCACACCACGCCAATTTGGAGGATGGGAGTGCTGGTGATCCTCTGAGTCACTTTGGAAACGCTTCATCACTTNGGGGGAACATTTCCCCCTCAGAGTGAGCAAGAGGCTTCAGGAGAGAGGGACAAGGAAGCTGGGGCTGGGGGTGGGGGGTGGTCTCCCATCCTGCCAGCCACATCAGATCAGTCAGATCTTGGCCTCATTCCCTGCCAATCCAGGTATTGGGTTTGGATCCCCCTAATTTAGTCTTTGAGATGCCTTTGAGATAATTGAAGAAGAGGTTGCCTATTTGTTGTTTGGCCAGCTGCAGGCTGAGATAATGGAGTGAAAAGTATAAAAATAGCATGGGAAAAGTTCTAAAGGGACTTGCCCTCCCCACCGCCATGCCCATATATTTGAATCCAGGAGTGGGGATTTTTTCTGTTTAAGCTTCCCAGGTGAGTGGGAACTACAGCCTGAAGACCTTTTCATTGAGGCAGTCCTAGCATGGGTTGGAAAAGAATTTCCAGACATAGAGCATTTCAGAAGGGAGTGAGTTTATCAAGAACAAAGCACAGATATGGTGGGCACTGTGAGTGCAGCAGACCAACCTCACAACAGGCCCAGGAGAGTCAACAGTTTTCATGAGTTAATAGCCATTTATAGCCTCAAGACAAAGAAAATTCCTGGGGGAAAGCTAGCGTCAGGTGGTTGGTTGGGGCACTATAGGGTGTTCACTGGAGTGGGCATCTTTGTCTAATTGGGAGTCAAGAAGCTTGTTAGTGATAATCAGGGGCTTTTGGCAGTGGTTACAAAGGGGCTCAGCTTCAGAGGTGTCCTTGTTTCTGGGCTGTACTTCCATGGCCTTGGTACAAGGCCTTGCATCTGCGATCTGGGGGCAGAATTCAACAACTTTGTCATAAAAACCCAAGGAATGCTGCCTGAACTAACCAGACAGGGTGTTCTGGGGAGGCATGGGGAGCTGGCTCCTTTCCAGACTCTGTGTAGTTTCTTTGTGTCTCATCTGTCCCATTGGTCCCCACCTGCCCGTGCCCTAACCCATGCTTGACTTGTGGTCTAAGTGGACTTCCCCTGGGAACTAGGATGGATGGATATTAAGGAGCTAATCACAGTGTCATTATAAATGCTCTGCTATACGGTTCGTATCATTTCTAAATTAGGGTGATATCTGCTGTATTCTAGGTTTCAGCTTATGAGACTTGAAACAGTCCATTTACCTCTTATTTGAATTTTGACCATAAATCACAAATCTGTCAAACTAAGCCCTGGGGACATGACAGTATCCCTGCTGTCATGGAGGTAACTTACTTTCCGTATTAATTTTGGGTGGGAGGGGATGGACTTGAACAGTACACATGTGACAGAGCCCATGAATGAGCAATGAGTAATAAGTGAACAAGATAATACAAGATGGTGAACGAGCTAAAAATACATAGATCCGGTTATAGGATGCTGGCTGAGAGAAGGAAACTGCTTTAGGGAGGCTGGTCAGCGAGGCCTCCTTAAGGTGGTGACACTGGAGCTGAGGCCTCAGTGCTAGGAGGACGTGGCCATACTTTGATCTCAGGGAAGACCACTTCTGGCAGAGGACCCTCAGGAAAGCACAGCTGAAGATCACTTTGACTTCCTTGGTCAAGGAAACTGGTAGTCAAGCACCAAGGACTTACATAGATGTGATTCCTGAGAAACAGAGATTTTTGGCATGCCTCCCCCCGTCCCCCTGCTTTTTTGTTCTCACTGTTTGGCATGTGGGATCTTAGTTCTCCAACCAGGGATTGAACCTGTGCCCCCTGCAGTGGAAGCACAGAGTCTTAACCACTGGACCAACTACCAGGGAAGTCCCCTCAGCAGGCTTTTACACTTCTTTATGCTTTTAGTCTGAAAACAGAAATTTATTGTTAAAGTGATCCAGCATCAATAGAAATTACAAAAAAAGAAAAGAAAAAGGTTCAAAATAGCATACACAATTTCTAGCTAAATTCAGAGGGACACAGATTCCTGGTGTTCATGACTGAAATACAGCAAGTTTCCATCAACACGAAAGACAGAAAAAGTTCCGGGTGTAATACATATCTAAGTTCCCACTCCCAATTTCCAGTCAAGGGCTCTTTTGTTTAGCAAGAAATTTTATTTTTGAACAGGTTGTACATTGACAAGGTTCAAAGTTCAAAAAAGTATAAAAGCAGTATATTCAGAGAAAAGCCATCCCTCTTTGAGCTCCTGTCTCCTTTCCACCTCTAACCTAGTTTCATGGCCCAGGAAGGTGGCGGGGGTGTAATATAATCAGTTTCTGTTTAAACCCGTCCCTGCAAAGTCTTCTGTTGCTTTGAGTCTGAAGAGAAGGTGGGGATAAGTGTGGGGTTAGGAAGAAGGAGGGCCAGCCACAGCGAGAGCTGACTTAATAAGGCCCCATCTCCACAATTTTGCAGAATCGCTCATTCTCCAAGCTGAAGGCCCTAAAGAAATTTCATTTCCCCTCCTGCCAAGCCTAAAGAAAGCTTTGCTCTCCCCCTGTAAGTGCAGAATTGGGAAAGTGGATGCACTGGCCGGCTTCTTCCCGTTACAGCTTCCTCCAGGCTCAATCTGCTCCTTCTAACCAAAAAGCGCTCTCTGTCTCAATCCGGTTTACCAGCATATCAACATCTCTTTAAATAGAATGCAAATGTAAAAGCCACTCCTAAAAATATTAAAATGATTTCTCCACCCCCTGCCTTAGCCTATTTATAATGTCAGCCGATACATCATCCCTGGGTATATTTCTGCTGCCTGCTATATAAAGTAGAACCTTCTTTTGTTGGCGTGTGCTTGGATGATTCCACTGAGCTGAATCCTGCCCCATGCTTTGTGCTCCAATTCCAGATTGCTTACTGGGAAGTGTTCGACGGCTCAGTCATCAGAGAGTTGGACGGTTCCTTGTCCGGGGCTGTCAACGGCATGGACATCACAGTGGAAGGCGTGCACTTTGTCACAGGTCAGTCCTGGGATCAGAGAAGAAAGCCAGGCTTAGCTTATTTAAATGGAAACCTGGAACTCCCTGGCTGGGGGGCAACTGGAAGTGACCCCAGAAGGGT